CTGACCCCTGGGCTCCCTGCCGCAGGTGCAGCTCATCCACGACAAGAATGCCACGGCCTTCTCCAGCAGCTCCCCGTCGCCTGCGGAGGAGGCTGAGCCGGCCCCCGAGAAGGTGCATCTCACCTGGACCAAGGAGAAGTCTGTGGCTGAAAAGAACAAGAGCAAGAGCCCCGTCAGCCCCGAGGGCATCAAGGACTTCTTCAGCATGAAGCCGTAGGTCCCCGCGGGCAGCCTGCCCCCCGGGGCTTGTGGGGCCCTGCCTGCAAGGGGGCGGGCGCGGGCGGGGGCCATGTCCGCTGGGCTGGGGTGGGCACGCAGGGCCGTGCTGGTGGAGCCTCCCCACCTGTCTCTCTCTCTCTCTTTCTGCCTCGTGCTGTTGCAGGGAGTGGGAGAACCTGTAAGTCTGCTTGGCATGTCCCGTGGCTCATGTCCCGCGGCCCACATCCCGTGTCCTGTGTCGGGGAAGGGGGGTGGCGGGGTGATGGGCCACCTCTGTGCTGCCTCTGAGCAGGCGCCTGTTGTGCCGGGGGCGGTGCCCCGGGGCCTGGGAACAGCTGCGGGCCCCCGGGCGCTGCAACCCACGGAGCTGGGGCGGCACGGTAGGGCATCGGTCTGGCGCCGGGGGCAGGGGCAGCGAGGCCCGGTCTGGCGCCTGCCCCAGCGCATCTGCTCTGCCCCGCAGGAACCAGTCCAACGTGCGGCGGATGCACACGGCCGTGAAGCTCAATGAGGTCATCGTCAAGAAGTCCCAGGACGCCAAGCTGGTCCTGCTCAACATGCCTGGGCCACCCCGCAACCGCAAGGGCGACGAGAACTGTATCCTTCCATGGGCTGCGCGGCCGGGCACCGATGCGCCTGGGCCCTGGGGAGCCTGGCCTGGGTCCCTGGGAGCCCCCCGGGCTTGGGCACAGGCTGGGGGTGCTGGGCAATGGGCGCCCCTGCCCCCCTGCCTGGCCAAGCCTGACGGAGCCGTGCTTGTCTGGCCCCGGCCCACAAAGGGGACAGGACGAGGAGGGGCAAGGGGCCAGGCATGTAGTCAGGCTGGCCCAGCTGGGCCCCGGGGCCCGGGCAGGCTGGCACCAGGGGCAGGGCAGGAGCCGCCTTGGCCGCAGCTGTGCTCCTTGACCGCGCGCAGACATGGAGTTCCTGGAGGTGCTGACGGAGCACCTGGACCGGGTGCTGCTGGTGCGCGGCGGGGGCCGGGAGGTCATCACCATCTACTCGTGAGGCCCGCGCCGCG